TGTGCGTGATGGTGGCCAGCCGCCTCTTTCGGCCACCGCCACACTGCATCTGGTCTTCGCGGATAGCCTGCAGGAGGCACTGCCAGACCTCAGTGACCGCCCTTTGCCCCCTGACCCGCAGGCGGAGCTACAGTTCTACCTGGTGGTGGCCTTGGCCTTGATCTCAGTGCTCTTCCTTCTGGCTTTGATTCTGGCCATCGCCCTGCGCCTGCGATCTTCTTTGAGTCCAACTGAGTGGGGTTGTTTTCAGCAAAGTCTCTGTTCCAAGTCTGAACCTAGAGTTCCCTTCAACTACAGCGAAGGAACTTTGCCTTATTCCTACAATCTGTGTGTGGCGCATATGGGAACGACAGAGTTTAATTTCCTAAAAAGTACTGCACCCTTGCATTCCACCCAAGATGTAGTTGGTGGTAATTCCCCTGGGGCCTTAATTCCAGTTCCTGTTGAGGATAATTTGACTTCACATCCTGAGACTCTAACACCGGTGAGTTTCACATTTGTGTCTTTAATATCCTAGTTTTTCATTTTCACATCTAGGATCATATTTGAAAAATCTCTAGCTTATATCATCTTATCGTCTCTGTTTACCTTTTGACAATTATATCTTTTAAGACTTATTTGGTTTATAAGTCACTCTATCATATATATAATCTCCATCCCCATACTGGAGATAATCTCGTAGAACTCTGATTAGCAAACAGAAGCAATACTCTTGGCTTGTAACCAAATAAATAACCCATCTATACAAACTTGCTACTATTTAAAAGTAAATTTTTTCCATATTCTGTAATGTTTCAATGCTTGAAAATATTCAGGTATACATCAAATTTTAGAACAGGTGTTGCTTTTCTGGAACCATTTATTGCAAATAATCTTGTAGGTGACTATTGATGTCTCTCTTCATTTATTCTAATATTTTTTCCAACTGTAAGCATCTGAGGGACAATAGCCAGCAGATAACTGAACTCTCTAAAATTATATGCAAAGTTATAAATGTCTTCATTTTTCTTGGGAGGACATTCAAAGCTTCGTTCATATTCCCAAGATTTCTATGGCACCCCAAAACTTAATACTAACTATCGTAGAGGGATATTTCTCTTCTTCTTTTGGTCCTGCTGTATTTCTTCCATAATTATGGTCTTTAACTTTTCTTGGAGCCCAAATTGTACTCTTTCTCAATCTCTTTTTTCTTACATTGCAAAATAAAGAAATTTCCAAGGAAGAGCTGGGCATGATGAGGAATGCTTGAAATCCTAGCCAATCAGGAGGCTGAGGCAGGAGGATCACAAATCTGAGGTCAACCTGGGCAACTTAAAATTGATGATGATGATGATAATAATAATAATAATAATAATAGGCTGGGAATGTAACTCAGGGGTGAAGTTCCCTTCAGTTCAATCCCCGGTACTGAAAAAGAATGAGAAGGAAAAAAGTAGAAAAAGAATACATAGAAAGAAATTTCTAAGAAAGCAAATGAAATGCTATTATTACCTTTTGGTCTCAGTCTCTGTCTCTGAATTAAGAACTTTGAGTGGGGGGGAGACAAAATCTTTTCTGAAGAGGTCCATACTTGGGGATGTAGTAACATAAATAACATAAATATCTTTGAGCAACTTGTTTTCTGTATGAAAGAAGTGAGTCACTAAGTTCTTCACATTTGAGGAAAAAACTGCTGCTGGGTTTGGGGGCATGCACAATTGAAAATATATGAACCACTTTCTCTGGGGTTCCACATGAATTGCCTAAGAGAAGAAATTAGTTATACTAACACCAATGCCATTATGAAACAAATCATTTAGGGTAAATATTTATTTGTTAAAAACCTACACAGAGGGCTGGGATTGTGACTCAGTGCTAAAGTGCATGTGTGAGGCACTGGGCTCGATACTGAGCACCACATATAAACAAATGAATAAAATAAAAGTTTATCAACATCTAAAAATAAAAATAAAAAATAAATAAAAATTTAAGAATCCTATATCAGAGCTGGGCATGTTGACTCACATCTGTAACTCCAGTGATTCGGGAGGCTTACGTAAAAGGATTGCAAGTTTAAAGAGAGTCTGAGCAACTTAGGAAGACCCTGTCTCAAAATAAAATAAAGAGGACTGGAGGTATGGCTCAGTGGTTGAGACTCTCTGAGTTAAATCCTGAGAGAGAGAGAGAGAGAGAGAGAGAGAGAGAGAGAGAGAGA